CTGTTGCGATGATTAAAGATGATTAAATGACAACACCTGGCACAGCGAAGACACCAAATATCAGCGCTCATCACCATGGAATACACTTATTGATCAACTTACCACCTATGCAACTTACGACCACAGTCACTAGCCACGACTGCTCCGCGTCTGGCAGCACAAACGTTGCCCAGCTGGGTGTACGACAGTGCGGACCAGCTTCCGGCAGCACTACCATCTCCGCGTGCACCATTTCAACTGTACATATAGCCTACTCAACTTACGACCAAATCGTGTTACGACCGGTCCGCGGTCCCGACCGTGGTCGTAAGTCGAGCACTGGCTGTAGCTGGCTTCCCCTGTCCTCACCTTGCCCTGAAATAAACTTTGATGTTGCTTGGCACCCAGGCCTCTCCCTCCACCTCCTCTCACCCACCCCAGGATTCCACTCCTCGTTTCTTTTTTTTTTTTTTTTTTTTGTGACTGAGTCTTGCTCTGTCGCCCAGGCTGGAATACAGTGGTGCAATCTCGGCTCACTGCAACCTCTCCCTCCTGGGTTCAAGCAATATCTCCTGTCTCAGCCTCCTGAGTAGCTGGGATTACAGGCACGCGCAGATTGCCCAGCTAATTTTTTGTATTTTTAGTAGAGACAGGTTTTCACCATGTTGGCCAGGCTGGTCTCAAACTCCTGACCCCAGGTGGTTCACCCACCTCAGCCTCCTAAAGTGCTAGGATTATAGACGTGAGCTATAATCCGCCCCCTGCTCTTCATTTCAACTGCAGAAGACCTGCTTATTTGCCTTTGCCTGTCCCAGGCAGGTACTGCCACCCACTGCAGCAAGGGTAGATCACCCCTTTCTACCCTCAATCCATTGAGATCATCCCAACCCTGACTCTGTGTGGCCCTCATCAACAGCATGGCTCCAACCCTACCTGTCGGCTCAGGAGACACTGGGTTGGAATTCCTGTGATGCGTGCAAAGGACATCAACAGCCTCTCAACACTTGCCAGTGGGGGCCAGGGAGTGGTGATCCCTTGGAGCACAGGGTATGGGTGGGGGCTATGGTCTGAATGTTCGTGTCCTCTTCAAAATGCATATGTTGAAATCTAATTCCCAATGTGATGGTATTAGGAGGTGAGGCCTTTAGGGGGTGACTCAGTCATGGAGGTGGAGCCCACATGAATGAGATTAGTGCCCTTATTACGGAGGCCTCAGAGAGCTGTCCTCCACCACTCGAGGGCACAGCTAGAAGGTGCCATTTATGAACCAGAAATTGAGCCCTCACCAGACACTGGATCTGCCAACACCTTGACTTTGGACTCCAGCCTTCAGAACGGTGAGAAATCAGTTTCGGTTACTTATACGCTACCCAGCTCACGGTGTTTTGTCCTAGCAGCCTAGACTAAGACAGTGGGGCAGACCCCGTGCTATTTGTGTCCACTCAGGAATGCAGGCCAATCCAAGGCGAGCCTGTCTGTGCTGGGTGGACACATCAAAGGCATTAGACTCAGCCCTGCACACCCTTTTCCAGCACGCATGCCTGTACTGCAGTGAATTTACTTTCCTTTATGAACCAGCTGTATTTTCAAAACCACTCCCTGATGAGCCCACGTTTGCTTCCTTCTCGTGCCAACTAGAAGCAGTCTAATCCCTTTTCCGTACTCTCAGACTCCAAATATTTGAAGATAATCATGTCCCTCATCCTTGAAGGGAGACTCGTGCAGGTGAAAGATCCCCTGTTCTTTCAAGGGTAGCTCAGACATCAGCCTGAACAGCACCCCCATGCTGTGGGCCCTGCACCATTTTCATCATGGAGGCAGTAAGAGATGAAATGACGATTTTGTCAGTGGGCGATTTTCAGACACAGGCCCTTGGGAAAGCATGGCTTTTATGACACCGGCTCCCAAGTGCCCATAACAGGCCCTCCTCTGTGTGCTTCACACCCTTTTACCAACCCCCACTCCCCTCTCTGATCGATTCCTGGTTCACACTAATTAGGCCTTGCTTAGACTGTGGCAGGAACAAGAGCTTTGCCATTTTCTTTAAGGAAACCATGTGAGAGGCTGACCTGCTGGTGGTTGCCAGGCAACACTGATGATCCTACAGGAGAGACAAACTTGAGAGTCACAGGGCCAGGGAGCCTAGTTAGCAGCTATTGAATATGATCTCTGCTGTGCGGAGAGGTGCCAGAAAGTTCTAGTCAGCCGTCCTTTTAAAGGGAGTGCGTGTGTGTGCATGTGTGTGTGTTGAAGGGGCATACTCAAAGGGAGCTGGGAAAGAATAAAGTAGTGTTATTCTTTCAGGTAGAATAACAAGAACACATACTGTGGCTGGAAAATATATTGCAATATTCTATTTTTTTTTTTTTTTTTTTTTTTTTATTTTTGAGACGGAGTTTCACTCATGTTACCCAGGCTGGAGTGCAATGGCGCGATCTCGGCTCACCGCAACCTCCGCCTCCTGGGTTCAGGTAATTCTCCTGCCTCAGCCTCCTGAGTAGCTGGGATTACAGGCACGCACCACCATGCCCAGCTAATTTTTTGTATTTTTAGTAGAGACGGGGTTTCACCATGTTGACCAGGATGGTCTCGATCTCCTGACCTCGTGATCCACCCGCCTCGGCCTCCCAAAGTGCTGGGATCACAGGCGTGAGCCACCGCGCCCGGCTTGCAATATTCTATTTTATCTGTTCGCCTGTAGTTTTCCCTCCTGCCCCCTCAATTCTAGTCACTGGGGACAGAATTTGCCCTTCCTCACCTTGGAACAAGACAGAAAGCAGAAGCAGTCAGTAGGCAAGGCCCTTCCCCTCTTTTGTAAAATGTTAAGCCACAGAACAAGGAATTATGTGAGGAGTCTTCGAAGGTGGAGCAAAAGACGTGTGAAGTTGGAGAAGCAGGATTTTCTGGGACCTGGGAAAGAGACAGAGGTCTGTGGGTGTCCACTGCTCAAAGAGCTGGGCACTGTGCCCATCAGTGCCCCTAAGGAGATGGTGAGATGTCAGATGGGTCTAGGCACCCAGGCTCCCAACCTCACCAAGTGTTCCTTGTCCCACACACGACTCAGAGTCCCCTGGTGAGAAGGAGCTATGCAGATGGCAGAGTGCTCAGTCCAGGGAAGCCTGTGGAACTGGGCAGCTACAGAGGGGCCAGACCGGTAGGTTGGCATCTGAAACAACCCAGAATCTTTGCACAGTCCTGATGGCTGGGAGAGAAAACAACTTAGATAGCACTTCCTTCACATGGAGGCAAAACAGGGACACAGAGCGGCATGGCTTTGGTGTAAAGCAGTTCAAACTTTTTAGGTGGACACTTGGCTAGTCTCCACCAAACCTGCAATGTCACCTCCCAATAGCTTCATTTGTATTAAGAGGTAACATTTATTGCACTTACCATGTGCCACAGTGTTCTAAGAACTTGACATTATACTCTAACAACATAGGAGAGTGTCTGCTTCTCCTGCACATTTACCATTACAGAGTTTTGTTTTTTGTTTTTTGTTTTTTTTTGAGACAGAGTCTCACTCTGTTGCCCAAGCTGGAGTGCAATGGCAGGATCTCAGCTCACTGCAACCTCTGCCTCCTGGGTTCAAGCGATTCTCCTGCCTCAGCCTCCTGAGCTGCTGGGATTACAGGTGTCTACCACCATGCCCGGCTAATTTTTGTATTTTTAGTAGAGATGCAGTTTCACCATGTTGATCAGGCTGGTCTCGAACTCCTGACCTCATGATCCGCCCACCTCGGCCTCCCAAAGTGCTGGGATTATAGGCATGAGCCACCGCGCCCAGCCTCAGACTATTTTCAATCTTTAAAAATGTAGCCAATCAACTGTTGTGAGAAATGGCATCTCATTGTTCTTTTAATGTACATAGCACCGAGTAATAATTTTTCATGTGTATTTCCGTATCATTTGCATTTTAACAATGAGAATGAATTCATGTATTAACGTCTATATAAAATTAAAGTATATTAAAATAATGGGTCCATATGGCTTAAGAATACGGCTTTGAAATATGTAAAGCGAAAATCAATAGAAAAACAAAGTGAAATTAATAAATTCACATAGTAGAAGATTTTTTTACCATGTACATCAATCAAGTACGAAAAAATAAGTAAAGATTGGATAACACAATTAAACTTAATCATATACAAATATATACTGCAATTGCATTATATGTGTACAAACACATATAAATATGTATATGTATACACATACAACATACTTCCACCATATGAGCACACAGTGAGAAGGCACCATCTATATTCACTAGGAAAAGAGCCTTCACCAGACTCTGAATTTATCGCCACCTTGATTTTAGACTTCCAGCCTCTAGAACTATGAGAAATAGATTTCTGTTGTTTAAGCTACCTAGTTTATAGTATATTTTAATAATAGCAGCCTAAATGGGCCAAGACATAGACACACAAAACCACACACAGATTCATGAAAACTACATGAATACACACGAACAATATCAGAGAACACTCTGAAAAAGTTCATTCTGCCATAGGCGACAAAGAAAAACTTGATAAATTATAAAAATCAAAAGTCATAAAGAGCTACAATCTCTGAATGCAGTGAAATAATATTTAGGATTAGTAATCATTTTAAAAGTATAACCAAATTATTATCTGCTTAGAAAAATGAAATATTCTCCTAAATAACTATTAGGTTAATAGAAAATTTAAAGATAAAAATACAATTATTTAGAAATGAAAGACAGTCATCTTTTTTGGTTTTCCTGGAGAAAAAGAAATGAAAGGCAATCAATTGGTTTGAAGATTTAAATGTAAACCAAAAGCTAGGTAAATGATAGGTAGTTAAAAAATAATCTTGGCATAGGAAAAGCCTTACTAAATATGACACAAACCTCAAAAACCTCAAACAACTAATATATTCAACCACCTAGGAATTTTTTTTTTTTTAATGTGGCAAAAACCACCATGGGTAAAGGCAAATGATAAACTAGAAAAGGCCGGGGCACAGTGCCTCACACCTGTAATCCCAGCACTTTGGGAGGCTGAGGCAGGAAGATCACTTGAGGTCAGGAGTTCGAGACCAGCCTGATCAACATGGTAAAACCCCGTCTCTACTAAAAACAGAAAAATTAGCTGGGCGTGGTGGCGGGCAAATGTAACCCCAGCTACTTGGGAGGCTGAGGCAGGAAACTCGCTTGAATCTGGGAGGCAGAGGGTTGCAGTGAAACAAGATATCGTCACCGCACTCCAACCTAGGTAACAGAGCAGGACTCTATCTCAAAAAAAAAAAAAAAAAAGATAAACTAGAAAAAAATATTCACAACTTATATCACAGACAATAGACTAACTTCCTAATATATAAGAGCTCCTATAAATCAATAAGAATATAGACTCCCAACCCAAGAGATAAATGGCCAAAGGATATGAATAGAGAGTTCACAGAAAAGAGAATTTATGGCAATGGCTGTTGGCTGAGTGTGGTCACTCACGCCTATAATCCCAGCACACTGTGAGGCCAAGATGAGAGGATTCCTCGAGCCCAGGAGTCTGAGAATAATCTGGGCAATATGGTGAAACCCCATCTCTGTAAAACAACGATAACAAAAACCACAGGGGCACAGACCTGGAGTCCCAGCGACCCAGGAGACTGAGGCAGGAGAATGTCTTGAACTCAGGGGTTTGAGACTGCAGTGAGCTGTGATCTCACCACTGCACTCCAGCTTGGGGGACAGAGCAAGAACCTGTCTCTCAAAAAAGAAATGGCCCTGAAAACATGACATGAGATTCTACTGCACTTATAATAAAATTAATTGTAAAGTAAAACTCACTGAGCTATTGAGTGAAAGAAGAGGACACATGGATGATTATAGTCATATAAAGTTTGGAAATAAGCCAAATTAATTGAAGGAGTTAAAGGTTAGGTGAGTGGTTTTCTTGAGGGGCAGGGAGTGGGAGGATAAGGGAAGACTTCTGGATTCTGGTAAATTCTATTTCTTGATCTGGGTGCTGTTACACAGATTAATTCACTTTGTGAAAATGCATGGAGCTGTCCATATTTCTTTATGTCATATGTCAATAGAAATTACTTGAATATGCTACACTGAGATATCATTTTTCACTGATTAGGTTGGCAAAGAGCAAATCTTTTGATGGTGCATTATGTAAATAAGGGGAAAAGGCTTTCCTCATGTATTACTGATGAGAGCGCAGATTAATAAAGCCTCAGTAAGGAGATGACATTAACATCTGTGGAAATTACTAATGCACCTACCCTCTGGCCACATTTTCACCTCCGGGAACTTACCCTACAATAATACTTGCACCTTTATGATGGCATAATGCATTGCCATGTCATTGAGAGACAAAACAATGGAAAGCTAATTAAATATCCATCAACCGGGGACTAATTAAATAGTGAGTGCAGTGGCTCATGCCTGTAATCAATCCCAGCACTTTAGGAGGCCAAGGTGGGAGGATCACTTGAGCCCAGGAGTTCAAGACCAGCCTGAGCAATATAGTGAGACCCCGTCTCTATTTCTAAAAAAAAAAAAAAAAATGTCCCGTGGTTATGTAAAGAGTTGGCATTAGGGGAAACTGGGAAACACACAATTCTTTCTACTATTCTTGCAACTTTTCTGTAACTGTAACATTATTTAAGAATAAAAAGCAAAAGAGATTGGACGTGGAAGCTCACACCTGTATTCCCAGCACTGTGGCATGCCAAGGCAGGCAGATCACCGGAGGTCAGGAGTTCAAGACTAGTCTGGCCAACATGGTTAAATCCTGTTTCTACTAAAAATACAAAACCTAGCCAGGCATGGTGGCAGGTGCCTATAATCCCAGTGACTCAGGAGACTGAGACAGGAGAATCACTTGAACCCAGGAGGCGGAGGTTGCAGTGAGCCAAGATCAAGCCACTGCACTCCAGCCTGGGCAACTTCATCTCAAGAAATAAAAATAAATATAAATTTATTCGGTATCCAGCAAACATGTATCAGTGCATCCTGTGTGCCAGGCACTATGTGCTGAGAACATGACATTGAACAAAACATAAATCCCTGATGTCATATGGCTTCAGTCCAGTTAGGAACACAGACAAGTAAACAGGGAAATGAAGCACCATTGACCCATGTTGAGGAAAATCCCACAGTGCTTTGGAAATATATGACAGGAAGACCAAACTCGGACACAGAGGTGAGGGAGGGCAAAACCATCCCACCAAAGGCCTTTCCATTTGAGCTTCAACAGTTCTCCATTCCAAGGGTGGGAAAAGGGAATGGAGCTTGGGAAAGAAATAAAGAAGACAAATCTTTGTGAGATGTAAGGCCCAAAGCACTTTCCTCTAGAGAGCTAGATCCAAGAACATTTCTGGTTGGGGCAGACATGATGTCAGGGCAGATTGGCTGTCTGAAGGCAGGTCCAATAGAGACTGTAATGGTGTGAGGCTTTACGAGTAGGGAATATACAATTCACCTCTACCAAGAAGAAATTGAAGGGGACAGTGGAAAACAGAGCATGTCCCGTGGTTTCCAGGTTGATTACTATTTTCCTCCGCTACACCTCTAAGCACTGTCCTCCACCACTTAACGGACCTGCTTTGGTCTTTCCATCTCTCTACCTACCTCTATATTAGTCCCAAAATTTGGGGATGTGGCACTGCTCCCAGTGAATCTTCCACAGGCAGAAGTTCCCCTGAGCTTTTGCAGGCACAAATCTTCAGCATGTTGCATTAGCCTGGGTATGGGCTTAAAACTCGGAAAATTCTGGTTTGAATTGTCACGCTGCTGGTATCTAGCCTTGTGCTTTAGACATATTTCCTTACTTCTCCAAGCTTCAGATGCTAGATCAGTAACAATGGGAAAATTGTATGCACCTCATAGAGTGGTTGTGAGGATTCACTGGGATTTATTTAATAAGCATTCATTAAATGCCTATTATGACAATGTGCCAGGCACAGTCAATGCTCAATAAATGCTAGCTCCTTCCTAAATTCAAAAGGACTTCCCATACCTGTTAGGCTTCGCTTTCTGGGCCCTACCATCAGGTTGGCTTCAAGGCATTTGACTTTTCTAGTTATACAGGGCCCATGCTTAGAAGGGTCCTACATTTGATTTAATGCCCTATTATTGCCATCCTGAAATTCTTAATAATTTTTAAACAAAGAGCCCCATTTTCATTTTATACCAGGCCCCAAAAATCACGTAGCCTGTTTTTCCCATAACCACTCTGACAGTGAGTTATAAAGAACTATTACTTTATAAAGTTGTAAGGGACTACCACTATTAAACAGAGCTGGTATCAATGATATTGGTCAAAATGAATTTAAAAACAAATTAATAAAAAAATTAATAGCCAAGATGGGTTCACTGATGAATTCTACCAGACATTTAAGGAACAACTTATATAAATCCTCTAAAATTTCTCTCAGAAAATACAATCAACAGGAGTACTTCCTAACTCGTTGTATGTGGCCAACATTACGCTAACACCAAAACTGGACGTTATAAGAAAGAAAACTACATGCTAATATCTCTTATTAAACATAGATGCAAAAATCCTCAACAAATTGTTAACAAACTGAATCCAACAATGTATATAAGAATTATATACCAAGACCAAATGGGATTTATATCAGGTATGTCAGGCTAGTTCAATTCAAAAATCAATTAATATAATCCACTTAACAGGCTAAAGAAGAAAAATCACACAACCATATCAACAGATGCGGAAAACATATTTGGCAAAGTCCAACAACTATTTACATTAGCACCCCCGCAATGAAATATTTTGGTAAAACATTTTGATAAAACACTTGGTAAAAACTCTCAGAAAACTAGGAAAAGAGGAGAAACTAACTCAACTGATAAAGAACATCTACAGCTTTTCCGGGCGGCTCCGGAAGACGGCGGAGTGCAGGTCCTGGTGCTTGATGGCCGAGGCCATCTCCTGGGCCGCCTGGCAGCCATCGCGGCTGAGCAGGTACTGCTGGGCCGGAAGGTGGCGGTCGTTCGCTGCGAGGGCATCAACATTTCTGGCAATTTCTACAGAAACAAGTTGAAGTACCTGGATTTCCTCCGCAAGCGGATGAACACCAACCCTTCCCGAGGCCCCTACCACTGCGGGGCCCCCACCACTTCGGGGCCCCCACCACTTCCGGGCCCCCCACCACTTCCGGGCCCCCACCACTTCGGGGCCCCCACCACTTCCGGGCCCCCACCACT